CATTCTAACGTCTGGGTAATAGCTCATTCAAAGAGAGCTGTCCCTATCAGAGCCACTGTCAGTTTGTACATTAAGCGTGTCGACCCTTTTGTGTTGATTTCACTTTTAAGAAATCTATATTAGACTTGAGGATTTGAGAAATGGGTATTCCTAACTGTGTGTAGGAATTTTTGTGATTTCCTTTGGTTTTGTACTTTTAGTTATTTTACTATTCAAGTGTGTGGTTGAAATTGTTTAAAATAGTACTGTTACAGCTAAAAGCCAGGTTAATTCTGATCCGTGTCCATTTGGGTGTGTGGGAGATGGGGCATGTTGTTGTTTTTTGTTTTGTTTTTTTTTTAATGTGTAAACTGAGTGTAACCTGACTTTTTGAGTTAAATGCTAGATAGAATGTAAAGCCCAAGGAAGGGCAGAACGACAAAGAGGGCGATTGTTTTTATTATGAATACTTAGCATCGACAAGAAAAATAATAGAGAAAATTTTCAGATAAATTTATACTGAAAAGCATCAACCCTTTCGCTAGCTAAGATAAGTGCCCCATGTCCCCATATCATAAATACTTGAATCGATGTTCTTTATAACTTCTTCTTTTCACTTTGTGAGATGAGGGGATTATACTGCTACTGAATAAGTACAAACACTTATGCCTAGACTAAAAATATTAATATGTAAAGTGGAAATTATAATAAAGTGTCCTGGAAATTGTAACTTTGTTTCGTTTGTTTTCTTTGACTTTGATATTTTAAGTGTATTTAATTTTGTATGACTCTTCTCTGGTCTGTGCATTTTCTTTCAGACTTTGTTCATCTTTGGGCATTGGTTCATAAGAAATGCATGGAATGGCATCCAGACTGACACTGTCAAAGAAATTAAATATCTTTACATATTTCATAGTTTTTATTCTAGGAGCTTAAGTCCTAAAGCCACACCTTTACTTAGCCAATTTTTTTTTTTTTTTTTTTGGTTAAGAAGTAAAATTCATTTTGAAAAGACTGCCATATAAAAAATCTATGAAATATTTATTAGCATGAGTCACTTATTTGTGACTTTTCTGTCTTCTCTTGGATATCTATGATGTATTAGAGCCAGTACTGGGATGATACATAGGTTAGCTCTGCAAAGTCATGGGACTGCAAAAATTCACTCCTGTTTAGTTACATGAGTTTGGCAAAGGCTGTTTTACTATTCACGCTCCATTGCTCCAAAGCATATGTGAACACACTTTCAGAAGGTGCTATTTTCACACATTTTAAAGTGAGTTTGGGTTAACTGAATGACTGTAACAAGAATTTTAAAAGGAAAGTGAGCTTGACCAGTTCATATGGAGAATGCTTTCGAAAATATCATTTAACAGTGGCCACTTTGAATACGTACTGAGGTATTGTTTCTCTTCTAATACCACTTCCACTGGATTTCTTTTTCATGGAATTAGATAAAATATGACATACTTTTGATTTCTGGGGATATGTTGAAATGATAGTGGAAGAATAATAACTTATCATTTAGCAGTTCTTGAATGTGTTATGTATTCTATTGAACAACTAATTTAGAAAAGACACTGAACATGACCAAGGGGAGAATGAAAGTTCACTTAAGTGGAAAGAGGACTGCATCTTTTCATTTATCTTAAAGTCATTTTTGAAGTGTACTGTATAAAATTCAGGAAAATTGCTTAAAAGTAGTGTTTGATTATGGGAGTTTTTGAAATAACTATAATCACTTGACAGTGCCTCAGTAACCACCACACATTTTCTTTCTGTTTTACATACAGGGGGGCAAAAGTACCCCACTGGTTTATAGTTGTTTGTATGGAAAATACTACAATAATTAATAAATAATACAAAAATAAACTCTTTTTTGAATACTCACAACTGTAAACCTACTTTTGCCTCACTCTGTACTTAATAGTGTGTACTTATTAGTATCGCTTTGTGCTAGGGACCATAGGGCATAAATAGACATATTGCTTTTGCCCCCCTCAGAGTTATTAGTATCATATCATGAGCAGTGGCGTTTCAGGTCCTATCTCTGTCCACCAGAAAACATGCTTTTCATACGTTCCCAGGACCTTTCTGTCAAAAATATATAACTGGTGAAATCTGTCTTAGAGGTTTAGAAGTCCTAGATTCATCAGTTAGCCTTCCACTCTGAAAGGTTATTAGAAATTTCCAGTGATCTATCTGTTTCAGGTTTTGGGAGTGGGATGCGGGGGGGAATGTCAGGATATGAACAGGCTGTATGGATACAAATTCTTCACCATTGCTGCTGTTTCTTGGAGCACCTACCTCACTGTAGAGAGGTAGCAGTAGCTCGAGCTTGGGAGGATGGTGGAAACTTGTTTAATGGAAGACAGGTAACATTTGTGTATTGCTAAATCGTTAGTTTCAGTTGTGCAGTTGTAACAGGCACATTTGCCCACGGGAACAATGTTCAAGACATGATAAATACATGACTTGAGGTGCATTTAACTATTCAGAGTCAGAGCTCTTGGATTTATATGTGGGAACCTAGTTAGCCATGTTATAGGAAACCATTTGCTACTATAAAGGGGTCCACTGGGCCAGGTGTTGAGCCAGTTAGACTGCAGAGCAGTCATTCTCAACCTTGGCTTCACTTCGAATCACTGGGGAATTATTAAAAATGTGGATGCCTGGGTCCCAACCCCAGAGATTCTGGTTTAATTGGACTTGGATGGTGCCTGGGTATCGGGATGTTAAAAGCTCCCCAGGTGATTTTAATGTGCAGCTGAAGCGGAATACTGGTTTTATTTGACTAAGCCTTTCTGCTTGAGATTCAGATTAATTTGGTCTGGGGTGGTGCCTGGGAACCCGTATTTTACGAGCACCCTTGGTAATTTTGTTAAACAGCTGGTTTGGGAAACAGTTGCAGTGTGGTCTGTAGAAGACATCACCTGGGAACTTGTTGGAAATGGAGGCTCTCAGGCCCCACCTCAGACCAGCTGAGGTAGAATCTGCATTTTAACAAGCCCCCCAGGTGATTCTTAGGCACATTAAAGTTTGAGGAGGAGTGGTTCTCTAACATACATCATAATCTCCGGTAGTGCTTGTTAAAACACAAATTGCTGGGCCCCATTCCCAGAGTTTCTGATTCAGTTGGTCTGGGGTGGGGCCGTTAATTTACATTGCTAACAAGTTCCCTGGTGATGCTGCTGCTAAGTTCCTGGGGCCACATGTTGAGCCCCTCTGGGTTAGAGAGTAGTGAGGACCTGAATACTACTTGAGCCACTATAAGGGAATGGCAGTTTTCACCGCTAGTTTCCGGTATTAAACTTCCTGCTTCCATGTCACTATCCTTTATCATGTTCTTTCTAATTTAGCACCAGGGAGATTGAATGCTGCCTTTATCATAACAAGAGTCTGAGGTTCTTGGGATAGTTTGGGGAAGGAGGAGAGTGACTCTTGGAAACCTGTAGTATGATTTTATTTTTTTCCAGATATTGTTAAATGTGAGGGGCACATTTTAGGAGTTAAAAACAGCACAAATATGATATCTTACAGTGAGCTGTATTGATTTTAATAAGTAAAGCCCCATCCTGTTCCCATAAAAAATGCTTTGATGATTAGCTTACTAAATAACATGTTTTTTAAGATTTTAAAAGCTTTACTTACACTTATGCTTGCTGATTGCATTTTAAGAATTTACCCCATTAACAAAGAAATATAAAAGGACCCTGCTAAGGCACTAGGATTGTTTAGTCTTATATCTTTAATGCTGTGTTGCATGTCATGTCCCATGAACTTTTAATTTTAATCTTCTTATCACCTTTGAAGTTAATGCAATGCCACATTTTGTATAGACTATAGCACATAAAAGATACTTTACTATTAAATATTAAACATCAATAAGTGTGGTTTTCCATTACAATGAATACGATTTATTCTTTTACAAATCTCCTGGCCATGCAGATTTTAAGAGACTCTGATCAGGTGTTTGAA